TGTGTTTGTTAATGGGTCACTTTCCACAGTCCCCAGAGCGCATCTCAGAGGACCCTCCCCAGACACACCTGGCACGCACTGGCTGCTCCCCAGAAACCCTCCCCGGCAGGACGGGCACCCCCAGAACCTGCGGGGAAGGGCTGAAGGCCAGCACCCCCAGAAAGGGGGGCAAGTGCCATCTTTGAGCAGCCTGCCTGGCAGCAGGGAGGCGGGAGCAGAGTGAAGCCCCTCGGCCCAGGGGCCCACCGGGGGGTGCCTCAGGGAAGCCCAGCAAGCGTTTGTAGACAGTGGACTGGTGTCTAACTGCTGCCACCCCGCCCGGCAGGGCAAGAGGCCGTGGAATGATCCAGACAGAGAGGAGGGGAGCGTGTGTATGTGTGTGGCTGTGGGAGCCAGACCCTTCTGTCACTGTTCTGGGGTGATGTCCCCTTAGAAGTCCAAATTTCAATGACCTTGGCCTAGAATCTTAAAATAGCCCTGAGAGCTAAGCCCAGAGCCAAGGCCAACAGCGGGGCCTGGGCCAGGCGAGGGGAGGGCAGATGAGCCGCCCAAAGAACAAAGGCCTAATCTCGGTTCGGGCTGCCCAACCCGACCCTCTGCTCAGTCACGCACACTTCATTTTTGTTGCTGGGGCCGGAGCAATCTGGGAAGGGCTGCCAGTAGGTGGGCCTGGGGCTGCCTTGAGGGCAGCGCCACCCAGGCCCGCCCCAGCCCCCCCCCCCGCCCCCACCCAGACAGCAAGGGGAGGCAGGGGAGGTGCCCGCTGGGAAGCAGGGACAGCCAATTCTCAGTCGGAATACGGGTGGGCAAAGGATGATCAGTGTTATAACACTGAGTAACAGTTTAAATTTGGAAGAAGGAGAAGGTTTCTTTCTATACCACGAGGAAAAGAAATAAAGCGTGACAGTGACCCCATGTCTGCCGGGCACCTGGGGAAGGTATCTGGGCCGCAGCAGAGCGGCTCCCCTACAGGGGCGAGGTGTGTGGGGTGTCTTCAGTTTGCTAAAAGAGCCCTGACTTTCAGAAGACGGTTTTCTGTGCCTGATGGTGTTTGAGGAGGCACACGCTGTGGAATTTGCCCGGGTGGCAGCCCCAGCCCTGCCTGCCGGGTGCTGCTGCCACGTGGGGCTGGGGCGTTGAGCCGGCAGCGGGAGCCAGCGCGCAGTGGGAGCACACAGTGGGGCCACACCCTGCAGACCCGCTCTGTCTTCACTGGCCACAAGCTTCCGCTTGGTGCCTCCTCCTGCCACTCTGGGTTTTGTCCCCTGCCCTATTTCCTGGTGACTTTAGTTCTACTACTTCCTCCCTCTGAACCTGCTTTCCAGAAAGTTCTGTCTCCACCTGGTGTCCAATGTGATGGAATACTTAGTGCCAGCCTTTCTTTCTCTCGGAGAAAAGACATTTCCAAGCCTCCCCCCCCCCCCCGTGGAAGAGAGCGTTGTATCCCCTGGGAAGGGGCTGGAAAGGGGCTTTTTACTTTCGAACTCCACTGTTCAGGACGCATCGCAACTATGACAAACTCACGGTAACGGGTAACACAGAGGCAACGTGGATGGTGTCACTGGATGTCTGGAAAGAGGATGGGAGGCTCCTACAGCAGATGGGAGGGTGGCTGGGCTCCAGCTCCCACCGCCTGTCTTCCTGGGATCGGATCACTCCCGGCCGGCACAGGCACTGCTCAGGAGACCATGTATTTTATTGTCCAAATCGGCACACTTTTGAAAGCGAAAGGGAACACTACGAGTTGTTAACCAGCCATGACAGCGGGCATAAGTGACTCTGCCATGCCAGTTGGGATGTGTCGCCCCCACTGCAGTACCGCCCGCCTTGGGGCTTGGCGAAACTCAAAGTCCGTGCTTGTCTCTGCAGCTGCCATGCACAAGAGATGTCTGCTCAGCCACCAGCTTCCCCTCTCAGAAATGATCCTGAGGAGGCCATCAGGCACATCCAAGGCCTGACAGAAGAACTACACGCACCTCTGTGAAATATAAGAATTGTGCCTGCCTTTCTCTCTGTCCCAGAGAAAAGGCATTCCCACCCAAATACGGGCCCCAGGTCACACCTCCTGCAAGGAGTTTGCCCAGATACCCCCATTCCCCTCAGCGTGTGCATCTCTCGTGTCTGAGCTCAGGTGTGTGGAACCTCCCCCACTGGATCACCAGCCCTGCAGCACAGGTGCCATCATGTGACATTCATCTCTGGACCCTCCTGCTCCTCCCTCCCTTCCCCCCATCCCTATCCCTTTACCTTTAAGTCTCTGGCTTAATGTTCCTGGAAAGAATTGAGCTAAACTGAACTTTTGTAATTTTCCCTTTAGTATAGGGACCCCAGAGATCTAGAATCTGTCCTGTGGCCCTTTGGGAATTCGTTGGTTCTTTCACATTGGCTTATAAGTCCTGTATCTCTGTCCATTGCAGGGGCACTCCTGGTGGAATTTGAGTAATCCCACAGAGTGGTGATTGTCCCGCAGGGCTCGAGAAGAACTTCTGTTTCATGGCTGGGGAAGGTGTGGTTTGGCCAGTGAGTCTTGGAGAGAACTAAATGCAGAAAAGTGGCTACACTCACTGGGCTCATGGGGTAATCAGAGAGGGCTCCCTGGAGGCAGCAGGCAGTATGCAGAGTCTTGCAGGATGGGGAGGATATGGAGAGGTAGGGGCAAAGGGCAGAGGCAGGAATGGGCCCAGCACAACCAATGAGTTCCCAATGTGGCTGGCAGATGCTGCGTGCAAAGAGGACCCACAAAGGCAGGTGCTGGCTGGCCAGCCAGACTCTGGGCTTGAGTCTTTGGACAGCTGTGGAGCAGGTGGAGGACGGGGATGGGGGTAGAGTGTAGCATTTTGCTCAGGCCCCGCCTGGGAGACTCTGGGATGGGCAGATGGACAACCCTGGGGTGAGGTCATGCTCACCCCTGTTCCTACTTCCTCTCAGCTACTCCCAGTTTTGCCAACACTGAAAACCAAGCCAACTAAGCACCTGTGGCCACAAAATGTAATCTCTGGACATCAGCCTCTGCTTCAGAGAAGTGAGAGCAAGTTTCTAGAAGCTAAAGCCATGGCACATATGCAATGACAAAAGTCCTCTTAGCTGATATGACTGGTCAGCTAATTAAAACATCTCAACATTTAACATATACTTGCACATTCATTCACAAACTTTTGATGTAAAGTCAAGGCCTTTTAACTTTGTATCTCCTGGATAGAACTGTTCCTCTTTTTCCTTTCTTAAATAAATCACACTCATGAGGCATTGCCTACAATGTCCAGTTTTAGTTTAGTTTTGTTTTTTTTCCACAGTGAAATGAGAAATTATATACTTGCAAAATAATCTGAGTATAAAAAGTCTCCCTAGATTTTTTGGATAGTTCCCCAACCTTTCACAGTTGTTTCACCCACATTTAACTCAACAGCATTAAAAAAAAAATGAGTAGTGGTTTGCATTTTTTTTAAGTCTTTCCAAAGCTTCAACTTAGTTTTCATAGAAACAAATTTTTCTTGTTTTTTTTTTTTTGCAACAGTATTTAATTGGTTTGTACAATATTTAATTAAATTGCATAATTACAATAGCAAATTCCACTGGCATAAACATGTTTGGGAACGGGGCCAGCTGCCTCCAGGAAAGCATTCAGCTCAGCTGGTGGGAGCAGACACAGCGGACGTTTTGGACAGCAGCCTTCCTTCCTGTCCCAAGTGCTCCTCCAGCTGTGGGGATCAGTCAGAGGGAATGGAGGGAGCTGGCAAACTTGGCAAGACAGCTAACGGGGCGCCTGGTGTCCCCTTATCAGGACTAGGAAGGCTGCCTCTCCAGCGACTCAGGACCTGGCGCTGCCCACCCCCAGCTGGGTCCAGTCCTCGCCTGATGTTGCTTCTTCCCAACTCCACCGTGTGCTGAGGGGGCCAAACCTCTCCAGATACCCTCCCCCTCCCCTCCCCCGCCCCACTTCCTCCCATCGCAGCTGTCTAGGAAGGATTTGGCAAACTAACTCTACAGTGTGAACAACAGACAATAGCCCGATGCACCACTCTCCCGGATGTGACAGGAATTTCTTACGGAGGTGGGTTTCCAATGACGCAATTTTAGGTGTCTGCAGTAGGTTGGCTGGGTCAGGGGAACGTCTAGGAGTCCCTCAAGCACACCCTCTTCCTGAGGCTGAGATTTCTGACTCTGTTCGGTGGTGTCACGCTTCTTCTAAGAAGATGCGGCTGTGGACTCTGCCTTTCATTCTTCATGCGCCCAAGCCCCTTATGTGGCATGGGACACTCCTCCTCTTTAACCTCCCTTATCGAAGCCATCTTTTCTGTATCCAGCCTTCCTCACCTCATGGGTCACATAGAGCAACAGTCAACATTTAACCTAAATGCCATCAAACCAACCAGCCAATCAGTCTCCAGTATGGCACTAGCAGTCGCCCACAACGTGTAAGGGGAAGAAGGAAAATACTCTCCACAAAACTCCATCAGTGGAGTGGCCATTGCTATTTTGAGCCACCCACTATTCATTCCATCTTTCTCTTGGTAAGAGAATCCTGATTTCCTTCCAGATTTCCATCAGCCCCTCATAGCCAATGTGTTTCCAGGGATGGGTTGTGATTGACTGAAGCCTTCAGCGCAGCTCAGCTCCCTGGCCATGGTGATTGGACCACATTCCATCATTTAAGAGGCAAGCCAATGTTTGCTGGGGACTTCTGAGGAAGAAGCTTCACCATTGGAGATAAGAAGGTGCATGCAAGGACTGGAGCTACTACAGCCATTTTGTTACCAAAAGAAGTCCAGTGAGCAGTGCAGAGTTAGTCACAGAAAAATGGAATTAGAGATCTGATCAAACAGCTCCTGAAGATCATCCTGCCTCTGAACTTTTCATTTACCTAAGCCAATAAATTCCCTTTATTGTTTTGTTTTGTTTTGTTGTTTTGTTTTGTTTTGAGACAGAGTCTCGCTCTGTTGCCTGGGTTACAGTGCTGTGGTGTCAGTCTAGCTCATGGCAACCTCAAACTCCGGGGCTCCAGCGATCCTCCTGCCTCAGCCTCCTGAGTAGCTGGGACTACAGGTATGTACCACCACGTCTGGCTAATTTTTCTACTTTTAGTAAATATAGGTCTTGCTCTTGCTCAGGCTGATCTTAAACTTCTAACCTCAAGCGATCCTCCCACCTTGGCCTCCCAGACCCTTATTGTTTTTAATTGGTTAACTTTTAAAACTCGAACTAATACATATACATGGCTTGAAAAATAAAAAGCAATAAAAGTGCCAAGCATGAAAAAAAGCAGCCCTTGCTCCAGCCCTCCCCACACTGAGTCCCAACTCCTAGAGATGACCACTCTCATCTGTTCTAGCTATTTGTTCTCTATTGCCATATTTCTAAATAACATGCTGCATTGGTCAGCTAGGGCTGCTGCTGCAACAAAATACCATAGACTGGTGGTGTAAACAACATAAATGTATCTGTTACCATTGTGGAGGCTGGCAAAGTCCAAGATCAAGGGGCCCGGCAAGTCAGTTTCTGGTGAGGGCTCCCTTCTTGGTTTGCAGACAGCCACCTTCTCCCTGTGTCCTGCATGGCAGGGACAGTGAGTTCTCTGGTGCTTCTTCCTACAAGAACACTAATCCTATGGGATCAGGGCTCCACACTTATGGTCTCACTTAACCTTAATACTTATTCCCAACACAGCCACACTAAGAGTGAGGGCTTCAACTTACTAATTGTGGAGGGACACGATTCAGTTCACAGTGCATGCCGTGTACTACTATTTCTAGGTTTTCCACTTTAGATATTATCTTAGTGTTCCATAATGGAAATAAGGTTTTATCTCCCTTATGCCCCAATCCATGCCTATATCTGTTCCCTATATCTTTCCAGTAGAGTGAGACCACCATTTTTAGTTAAATCAATCGTCAGTGTTCACAGTATTGTGATGAGACAGATATGGTTCATGGGTAAGCCGCATGATATTTCCTTTCTTGCACAACATTTTATTTTTTCTAGTGTTGACAATGGCTTTATATGCACCTAACACTTATTTACACACAAACGGACTGCAAGGACTGTTAAAATCCCTCCCTAGACAGTTCAGCAAGTTAGGAATCTGTGTGTTCCCAGAATCATCCCATCCGGAGTTCCCCACCCTCCAACCCCAGGCTGGAGCACTTGCTGCTAAGCCGCGTGCACAGCTGTCATCTGGAATTCTCACACTGGTCCTCTGAACACACTGCATTAGTTTCCAGTGCTGCTATAACTCTGACCGCAAACTAAGTGGTTTAAGACAACGCAAATTTCTTATTTTATAGTTCTGGAGGTCAGAAGTCTGCATCGGGTCTCAGTGCCCTAAAATCAAGGTGTTGGCAGGGGTGTGTTCCTTTTGGAGAGTCTTGGGAAGAATCTGTTTCCTCACCTCTTCCAGCTTGTAGAGAGGCCACTGCGTTCCTTGGCTCAGGGCTCCCTTCCTCCGTCTCTGAAGCCAGCCACACCGGCGAGCCCTTCCCGTTTCGCACCACTCTGACCTCTCTTCCGCCTCCCTCTTTCACTTAGGGGGACTCTGTGATTATACTGGGTGCACCCCGAGAATGCAGGACTATCTCCCCATCCCCGGGCCAGCCAATTAGCAGCCTTCACTCTACCTGCAATCTCTGTTCCCTTTACCACGTAGCCTAACACCTTCACAGTTCGGGGCATGGAGGTGGACACCTTTGGGGGTGCATTATTTTGTCTACCCTACCCACCATTCTTGTTTTTTGTTTATTCTCGTTTCAATGGTGCAAATCTTTCTCTGGTAGCTTCCTGCGACAGGCTGTGTAGTGACACATCATCTGAGACCATGCCTATCTGAAACGACTTTATTCCTCTCACTCTTGACTGGCTGTAAACAGAAAGCTAAGTTGGAACCCACTTCCCCTCTGAAGGCCGATGGCACTGACCCAGGGTCTTCTAGATTCCAGGGACGCTGGTAGAAAGCCGTATACTGCTCTGTGTTCCAACTGTCGCATACAATCTACCTTTTTCTTCTCTGAAGTTTTTTATAAATCTCTTCTTTATCCCTAAGTATTCTAAAATTCCACAGTGATGTGCCGTGGGTCTGTTCCATTCATCGCGTTTGCTCCCGCAATCTGGAGCCTGGAACCTTCTTGTACAACTTCTCTGGATAACCTCCTCTCCTCAGGGCTTTTGCTCTCCATTCCTGGAACTCCTGCCACTGGCCTGCTGGATTAAGCCGCTAAGTTCCTTATTTTTTCCTATCCCAGTTTCTAAATCATTATTTTCTCTCCCTACATTCTGAGAAAGTCTTCCAATTTTTATCTCTCAAATATTCTACTGAATTTTTAATTCCAGCTATTATATGTTTAATTTCTTAGTGTTCTTCCTTATTCTTTGGATGTTTCTTTTTTATAACCTTCCATTTTCATTTTATGGACGCACTGTCTCCCTTATCTCTCTGAGGACATTAATTATAGTTTTATTGAAGTTTTCTTCCACTCCCAGACTTGGCTCTATTCATTCCTTCTAGCTCCTTTTGTTGTTGTTGTTGTTACTTGTTCTCCCCCCTTTCTCTTCCCCCCTCCGCCCCCCCCCCAGGTTAGAGGATTCCTTTCCACAAACACCAGGTGATCCTTGATCATCATTTTTATTAAAGAGTCAGACACTAAAAAGCTGGTGCTTTCCCTTTGGAGGTTGGGTAGGGATCTGGTCATCTTCCAAAGGATGTGATCCAGGAATTCTAGACTTGGAAACATTGCATACAACCGAGGACAACTTTGAGCACCATATATACTAACAATAAAAGCACTGATTTAAAGACTTTGTGCTGAGTGGTGCTAGCTCCTCTCCACTCTGGGTGGGAGTTTTGTGGAATATATATATGTCACTGTCATTTTTTTTTCTCTTGGGCCAGTTTGCTTGCAAAGGAACGCTCCAGTCACCTGCCTGAGGAACAGACCCTGGGCTGCCAGTATTCTTGGAGCCCAGGGCACACTGAGTGACACTAGGATGTCCCACGTGACTTTATTGAGTAAAGCGATAGTGCAGAGCTAGCAAAGAGCTCTTCTGTAGGCAAAGCCACACAAAGTCATCCACATCTCCCACCTGGTTCCTTTTGTGAGCCTTCCAGGTTCACACGTCAGGAAACCCCACGCAGACATATTTAGTGACCCACGCTACATACTTAGCTTTGGTGAAGGGCCCACATGTGGGTATTTGTAGCATAGGCCGCACTGGGGCATGATGAGGAGGGCAGATCTAACCCTTGCCCAGAACACTCTTGGACAACGTCAGGCTCACTAACATAACAAGTAGAACAGGCACGAAATACCTACGACCACAGGCAACAGGTGCAAAACCTAGACCAAAGGCCAGCTGCTAGCCTGTCAGTGAAGTTTTCTCATTAATAATATGAAAATCCACTAAGTCTTGGAAGATAGTCTTCCAACAGAAAAATGCTTGTTAGCAGGACATGGGCCCTATGTCCAGAGCCACCTTAGATAAACAGTAGACATGCTGTGCCCCACAGCAGCTTGGCCGGGAGCTGCCACCTGCATTCTGCCCTCATCCTGGCATAGAATCCACACAGTGGCCATCTAAACGCAGGCCCTGGGGCCCAAACAGCCTCTGGTGGCGTCAGAGAGCAGGTGGTCTCCCTGTGGGGAAGCCAGCCTTCAGCACGGTCCGCCTGGCCTCTGGAAAACAACAAGCATGGTCCCACTCATGGCAGGGAGAAGCTAAGGGTGTGTGGCCCATGGCTGGCACCGGTGAGGGCAAAGTGGGCCACCCCAGGCACTGCCCCCTCAGAGCCCAGTGTAGATGCAGAACATTCCAACAGCAGAGTGCAGGCATCGCACCCGTGCAGGTGAACTCTGCTTTCCGCACAAGAGTGCATCGAAACATCCTTACACCTCAAGTCTCACTTTGAGCCCCCTAAAGCACTGCTGTTTAAGCACATCATCTCTGTAAAACGCATCATTCCCTCCACGGCTTCTCCTCCTCCCCACGACACACACAGTCGATCTGTTCTTCAAAGATTCAGAGTCTGGACACCAGATATGCTGCCAAGGACAGTCACCTACTTTGGAACTAATTTTTTAAAACAACAATAAGAAGAAGACTTCCCAGCTCCCTGGACAGCCATGCAGAAGTGCCTGGAAGCAAAGGCACAGCCTAGAGGACAGGTAGGCCACAGAAGGGGATTCTTTTGTATCTTCATAAACTTGTCCATTCTTACGGTAACATCACCGCTGGTCCCTGTCCCATGCTCTGGCAAGTTCTTGATGGATCCCAGTGACTCACGACTTTGGGTTTTCCATGCATCTCCCTCTTTCCCCTTTGTGGAACCCTGCCCCTCCTTCCACCTACACTGCAGGTGTCCTGCCTGTCCTCACGCCCCTTTCCCTCCATCTTTCCAGAGCCACCTCCTTTGTCTTGGCCCCAGGCACCTCTTTCTTTTACAAATTTGTTATGAAATATTCCAGACATACAAAAAGGCAAAAAACATAATACAGCGAACACCTGTGCACCCACCACCTGGCTGCACAAATAAAAGGCAGCTCTCTCTAATCCGAGGCTCACATCCCTCCCTGACACCACAGTTCCTAACAGCCTTTGTTCCAGTCTTCCCCAGAAAAAGCCCAGGGAGCTGCATAAATCCAAGGCACAACCAGCTGTCTGTCACCTGGACACCACTGTATGCATTTTCTCACTGGCTGTTGTGGCTGCGGGAAGCTCCCTTCCACCCACCGCCTGCCTGTCTTCCTTTGTGATCTTACCACTTCCCTATCCCAGAGGGGAAGTGGCTTCCCGAAGGTCCTCAGCTTGTTAAAAGCCACACAAGCAGGTCAGCAGAGAGCTGGGAGTTGGAGCGGGGACTTCACCTGGGTGGGATCCCCAGGTGGGACCCAGTGCTTTCTGTTGGCATGCGGCACTGGGCCCCTCTGTGCACCAGGAACAGGGACACTCTGCCTCCTATGGCCTGGTGGTCTTTGGGGGCCACAGGCACATTCACAGAGGCAGCCAAAGCCATGTGGGCAGGGCTGGAACCTGGGGGACCCGTGTGTATAGCAGGGAGGGGCTGCTGAGCCTGGGAGGCCGTGAGGGATTAAAGCCTGAGGATGGTAGCATGGAGGGGTGCAGGGAGGGACAAGTGGGAACAGTTGGGAGCAGGGCAGAGAAGGAGAGCACCTCCAGGCTGGAGAGGAGGGAGGGGAGGCTGGCAAGATGAGGCCAGCTGGGCAGGGCATCGTGTGGCAGTGGGCTGAGAGGGTGACTGTGGATGCTAAGGTGTCCCACCTCTGCCAGGCCTGGCTGTCCTCAGTACCCCACTGTGCTCTGCTCAGATCCCCAGTGGGGCAGGGGGTGGGGCAGGGGCCCTTTGTGATGCTTCGCCTGTCCAGCCCACCCCACTGCACACAGGCCATGGGAGGTCACAGGAGGCCAGTGCTGTTGACACTGGCACGGCCTGAGCAGAGGCGGAAGAGGGCGCGCTGGATGCCCTCCCCGCTGCAGCCTCCGCCCCGGAGACAAAGGGCACCCACACAGCCGGGAGTCTGCACAGGTGGCACGAACACCCTGGGCAGGCGCACAGGCTCAGGAGCGGGAGACAGTCTTCCCGTCCTCTTCAGGAGTCTCCAGACTGGAGCTGACTGTCTGACGCCCCACCTGCACCCCTGGCCTGACCTTCCACCTATGCCCTGAAGCCACAAGACCCCCACCCCTTGCCCACACCCACCGTGGTCCCTCCGAGGCTTCCATGCACCCCAGAACAATCGTAAGGCCCTCTCTCAAGCAAGAGGATCAAGGCCCAAATGCCTTGCCTCACCCCTCTCTCTGCCCGGGGCCTCACCGCTGCCTCCGTCTGCCTGCACCTTCTCTGCACAGCATTCCTTCCACCTCTGATTTATACCCAGGCCACTCCCCCAGGCCACGCTGGCTGTGGAGGTGGGAGATGGAGAGCAGGTGCCTGGAGAGGGTCCTCACAAGAACAGCAGACACGCTGGGGTCTGGCCTCCTCCCCTCCACCTTCCCTCAGCCCCCTAACTTTCCCCGTGCCCACTTTCCTGCTCGAGATGCACCTTATCCACAAACCTTCCCACCCCATCCCGCACCAATCTTTCCAGCTAGATGCTTACTGCTCTTACTGTCTCCACAACTTTCCTGGCCTTCAGGACTCCACTTCTAAGGTAGAGCCTCAGAGCAGGATGGACCTGCTGAGGACAACTAATCCCCCTTAGGATTCTGCTGGAGACAAGGCCCATGCAGGGTGGGAAAACGTGCAGAAAGGCTCCAAGCTCACTGGCGACAGAGCCAGAACTTAAATTCTTGTTTAGGGATTCCCCTCTTCATGCAGCCTTCGCTTTGCCTCCTTATCTAGAGCACAATTCCCAGAGCACAAGGCCCACGGTGCAGGCCTCGCTGTTTCTCCCGTGAGGACCCAGCAGCAGAGTTACCCAGACTAGGACCTTGGCGAGTATCTGGCAAGTGGTTGTGTGATGTGTCCCATGGCCTAAAGTTGCCTGCGCAGACCCACTCCTCAGTCTCAGTTCCACCTTCTCTCCTGACACTCCCCAGCCATACACCTGCAGCCTACGCCAGAGCCCCCCACGCAAACTCAGCCAAGATCCTTAGAGGGACAGAGACAGTGTGTAAATTTAGTCCCCTTTGGGCCCACTGGCAATTTTTATTTGGCCGGCTGCCTGACTTCCCTTGGCCACTAAGCAAAGAAGTAAGCATTCATCTTAACGGTGGCAAAGGAGTGTAAACTATAAAAAAGCACCCCAGCTTGGGGGTGGAGAGGGGAGCAACCTTGAGGGGGTTATACCTGCTAGGACTGATGACCAGGGATCCCCAGGGTTCCCCGGATTTCCCTTTCCCCTCCTTTTACTCTAGGAAGGTTTTCAGAACAGCCAGTGAGTATTTATTGAGGTCTATTTTTTGGCAGAAGGGGCTAGAGAGTGTCTTTCCCAGTTAGTTTACAATTTGGTTAAAACAAGACTAGAAAAAATAAATTAATCTAGCAAGGTTGCTAGACACAAGGTTGATAATCACTAATCAATCATATTTTCTACAGACCAGTGACAAACACATGGAAGACAAAATTTTTAAAATACTACTTCTAATAGCATTAAAAAAATAAATAACTAAGAAATAAATTCAATTAAATATAGGCACAAACTCTACACTGAGAAGCACAAAATAATGTTGAGAGAAATCAAAGACTTAAATAAGTGGCAGTACTATGTTCATGGATTGAAAGGGTCAATGTTAAGACGTCTATTTTCTCTATTTGATCTATAGATTTGATGTATGTCCAATCAAAACCACAGCAGATTTGTGCATGTGTGTTTGAGTATACATGCGTGGAAACTGATGAGTGATTTGAAAATATACAGAAACACAAAGGACCTAGAATGGCCAAGGCAATAATGAAAAAGAACAAAGTTGGAGAAATTACACTATCAGATAATATCAAGACTTCTATAACGCTACAGTAATAGGCACAGTGGCATAGGTTCAACTATAGACAAAGAAGCCAGTGGAACAGAATAAAGTCTAGAAATAGACACATTCATATATGGTCACTTACGACAAATGTTCCCCTGCACTTCAGTTGGGAAAGAACAGTGTTTACAATAACTGATGCTGAGTCAACTGGACCTGTATCAAAAAATTAAATGTTGACCTCTACCTCATACTAAAGAAAAATTAATTTGAGGTGAATCATAGACGTCAACATGAAAGATAAGAAAATAAGGCTGCTTAAAGAAAACATTGGAGAATATATCTTCAAGACCATGGGTCAGCAAAGAAGTTCCTTAAACAGGGCAGAAAATACACTAATCATAAATGCAAAGACTGATAAATGGGAACTTATTAAAATTTACAACTTCTGTTAATCAAAAGACACCACTAAGACAATAAAAAGGCAAGCTGTGGAACAAGAGAAGACAAATGGCAGAGGTCTCATATCCAGAATATACAAAGAGTTACTATCAATAAAGAAAAAGGCAGACTTACCAGTTAACAAATGGGAAGGTATTTGAATAGGCACATCACAAAAGAGGATATCAAAATGGTCAATAAACAGATCAGATCATGCAAAGGCAAAATGATAACACCACAGTGACACGTCACTACACCAACCAGAATGGCTAAAATAAAACACCAAGTGTTGGCAAAGATGTGTAGCAACTGGAACTCTTAAATTATTGGTGGTGGGAATGTAAATCTATACAATTGTTTCAAAAGAGTGTTTGATAATACCTATTAAAGCTAAACATACATATAGCATGTAACCGGGCAATTCCACTCTTAGGTATATATCCCAAAGAAAAGATATTTATGTACACCAAAAAAAACCCATCAATAACAGTACTCACAGAAGCTTTTAAAAACATAGTATCAACTAGAAATGACCCAAATGTCCATCAACAACAATAGACTGGGTAAAATATTAATAAATTGTGGTATAGTCACACAATGAATACTACATAGCAACATAAAAAGAATGAACTTCTGGCATACTCTACAGCATGGATAAATCTCACAGAGACATTGTCAAGTAGAATATAAAAGGAGTGACTATGGCATGATCCACATATATGAAGGTCAAAACAGCAAAACTACTGTACAATGATGGACGTCAGGATAGTGGTTATTCTTGGTTATTCCAGGGGGTCCCACTGGAAGGAGGCAAGAGGGAGGCTATCCAGAGTACTGGGAATGTTCTAGGATGATTATAAGAGTGCCTACCTATGTAAAAATTCATCAAGCTGTACATTTAAGATTTGGGCACTTTACCAAAGAGGGGAGGACAGGGCTTCAATCAGAAGACAGGAGAGGATAAGGCAATACTAGGCAAGGCATGACGAGGGCTGAGAGCTGGCCTTGGTGGCCATCCCCATGTCCAGGAGCCTTGGGGGGCAGAGCAGGCATTCCTTCCAATAGAGAAGCTAGTGCATCAGAGGTCAGCACCAAGGATAAAAAGGCACCTTCACCAGCACCTGGCCTGCTGCTTTGAAACAACAAACGTACAAGAGTGGTCCCCATGCTTTCAGGGTGTGGGTCAGGAAGCTAAGCTGCCACATGGGGACACTGCACACATGCAGGCACTGGGCCTGCAAAAGCCTTTGTTCCCCCAACCCGGGTTGCACCAAGTGCTGGCTGCTCTAAACGAAAT